AAAAAATCAGCAAAACCCAATGAGCTGATCCAGTTCCTGACACAATCATAAAGCAGATCTGTTGTGTGAGATGGTGTCATTTCCAGAGCCACTTTTCAAAGGAAAACAGCTCTTCAACAGTGTCACCGACTTCTGGCCTTTTTCTTCATCTGAGAAGACTCTCAATTTTGGAATGGCTTGTTTTCCTCAGAGATGACTGTTCAAGCTATAATAGAGATTTTTGAGCTCTTTCATATATATATGCAGACACCCACAAGCAGTGTGGAGAATACAGAGTTTGCTAGAAGAATGCAAATGACATTTCGCTGGCTGCCACCGAAAACTGCCTTTCTTGCTTCTGCTGGAAGAGCACGGTTTTGCTGGGAAGCAATACTTATTTAGGAAGCAAGGACAAAGAGCATCTCAGCAGATTTTCTCGCTCTTGTGGGCTTGAAAAGAAAAAAGACAAGCTTTTTTTTATATATATATATATCTCTATCTTGCTTTGCTGGCTGTGGAAGCAGAATGCAAAGCCCATAAAATTGCCATCTTAGAAAAGCACCAACTTCTAATTAACACAAAATATTATGTGCAGTGTACACTTGCCTAGGGTGCTCTATAGTAGAGAGGGAAAGTTATGCTACAACCCACCCGCCTGTTAACGTGAAATCACTAAAACCACATTTCTCCTGGTACATTGCACTGCAATTACTTTGTTATCTTTATCTCCTCTCTCATTCATTTGGTGGTGTGAGCTGAAGTCACATCTAGTTATGGAGATGTACTGAGAAAACATCTGTTGATCTGATGGAAAACACTTGAGGATTCTTCACTTTGCTCTTCCCTTCCAGTTTCCTTAGCAAGCAGCAGAGAAGACTCAATGACTTTGGAAGTCTCTGGAGAGGGACAGAGCTACTTCAATCACCCCATGGTTGTCCAGATGATGAAATGATTGAAAGTTGCTTGATGACACCAAGGAAACACCATCCAGGTCTTCTCATCCAAGGAAAGGCAGTAGATGCAAACCAAGAACTCAGTGAGGACATACAAGTAGTAAGGCGGGACAAAAGCAAGAAAATCTCCTACAATGCTGCGTTCTTCTGTGACTACAATTCAGTTCTGCATGCTGTCTTGTTGTGTTAACCTTTGTCTTAAGTGGTGTCATCCAGTCTCCTTGCTACATTAATTAGCCAGAATACTCCTTCCGATCAGGCAAGAGTTCACAGTGGCTACAGCAACTACTGGAAAGCTCTCAAAATCCACTACAGTTGTATATTCCAAACTGGAACCACATTCTTCAAGCACTTCTGAGCTTGAAGATACCAGCTGGGCCAAAACTTTCAGTCATTTCCATACATGGAAAGAGAGTACATGAAAGCAGTTAAACACAGACTGGTTAGGTTGAGCTGATCTTGCCTTGGGACAGATGGACGACTCGGGGGCCACTGCAGGGCCCTTTCAGCCTGTCCCTGGGATGAATATTCCCCATACCCACAGGCACAATCCTCCAGGACATGAAGGCACAAGTTGGCAGAGGGCAGCAGTTGGGCACATGATGATATTATCTGTAGTCAGAAAGGACTGTCCTGCCCTGGGCAGCAATAAAGACAAATACAGGGTCTGTTCTGCGCTTCTACAGACATTGAAACAGGCCTTTAGGCAAAACTGAGCAGCTCCTTTGCTAAGGGTTGACTATGCAATGGAGGGCTACCAGCCCACAGCCCAGGCGCAGCTGCTCTCATCTTCATGTCAGGCTCTCAGTTCATATGCAAGACACAGGGTATGCTCTGGCTCACCACAGATTAAATGTAATTTACCTTCTTAGTGTCACAGCAGGACAATAATTAAGTCTGCAAAATAACCTTATGATAACACATGCAATGAAGGAAATCCAGGACTGGAGGATGCAAGTGCATCGGGAGTCCAGCCTTGGAGTCCTCATTTAGGCCATTGACAGGCTGGGTCTGATAGATACAGCGTGTTAATTAAAAAGCATTGGTAGCGGCATGCCACATTACCTCTGATTTAGCTAATGCATTTTGTATCATTAATTGTCTCACAAACAAAGAAGAGTGTGCGTGTCTGTCTGCTTTGCTTAAGTCATCTACTGCTTCACAGACAAGTTACATGTGGCGTCTTTCTGCCTCATTGCTAAACCTTCCTCAAAGGCACTTTTCTCACCAAACCTAGCAAGTCCTACCATCCCTACTCCCAGCATCCCTGCACTCCCCCATGTAACACAGGGATACAGCAGTGCTCCTGTAGTCACCATCAGAAGCATTCCTTCCAAAGCCATACATGTTCAAGACTGAAGCTGACAGGCAGTGAGCAGTTTGGGTCCATAATGTGTCCAGTCTTTTTACAACCACATTTTACTCTACAGTAGTGATTGTCCCTTGGCCTGAAAAATTAAAAGACTCCAGTACGTCCTCAGTGACAAATAAAATGGGCAGTAGCCCACCTGCTCTTCAAGGGCTTTGCGAACTCCTGCATCTTAGCGGCTTCTTCTATGAACCTCCAATTTCTTCAAACAACTTTTCTTGGGACATCTGTTCTTGTGGGGCAGTCTATTATTTTTATATGGTGATTATTTGTGTTATGAGACACACTACAGCCACAGAATAAAACCCTACTGTGCTTGGCACTCCACAAACGCAGAACAAGACACAGTCTGCGTTCCTTTGCATCTTCCAAGTCTCTAGCCCCAGCTGGATGTCACTGTGTGATAATGAGACAGTAGAAACTTTCTAACATAGGAAGGAACAGATGCAGGCATTGGCTACATCTTCTGCAGTGCAACCCACCACCATGTGCAAGTGCAAGGTTAAAAGAACAACTTACTGCAACGTTATTTGATGGTTGAAAGTTTGCAGCCCCCCGAAACAGCAGAATCACTCCCTGCCAAGGGAGCATGCAAGCACACTTGGAAAATGAAGGAATTATACAGTGCCCCATATGTGCCTGCAGAATCTGGGAAAAGGATCAGACATTTCCATATGACAAATTAAAAGCTACGGACTCACCAGGATACAGCTGCTTTGTCGGTGCACTAAGCTGAGCATCTTTTGTTACTCTATAAGCAACATCTGCTTCTTTCGAAGATCTTCTGCTTGTGCAAAACCCTGTTGTTTTTGTTATACCATCAGGTAAATTATGAAAATCTAATACCTTCAAGAGGTCTGCAGGTTCAGCTGTAAAAAGAAAAGGAGAAAACAAGAATTAGCAGGCAATAAGACTAGCACTTGCTCAGATCCAAGTCATTATTGGCCAGCCCCACAAATTATTCATCACAGTTTTAAAAACAGGTGAAATGTTTTCAATATATCTGCAAATACAATATTAATACCAGCTTCAAAGCTTGGACACTGTACTGCTGGTCAGAGACACTAATTCAATGCAGAAAGGAACAGCTGATCAGCTGTCTGCACAAGGGCAAAAGGGAGAATATACTATCTTATTAGCTATAGTAGTTATTTTCTGGATGTCTTCACCCAATCTCCATCATTCAAGCACATCCTGAAGATTAAGCATGAGACAGGAAATTCATGACCTGAGAGGCAGGCTTTAAATCAAGAAGTTGCATCACACTGATGCAAACATTTCTGTTCTTTTTTCTTAAGTTGGTTGATCCAAAAAGTTGTTTTGAAGCAAATACCTGAGCAAGCTTCCCCAAAGGATTACACACACCATGCAAAACCACCACATGGAAATTCACACTAGCTGGGATAACAGGTAAACCCACAGCCATGCCTCGGCAGTATAAACAAGTTATGGCAGAGCAGCATCCCAGCATGGTGCTTTGGTGCTCACAGGTTGTTCATGCTGCCCACGGGCTCGCCCAGACCTTGGGAGGGTTTGTGCACAGCGTCTAACCCTGCCCAGGGTGAAGGCAGGTGGCACGGGGCAGGGATGCAGCACAACTCCACTGCAGGTAGCCAAGTGCCCCCCTGTAACTCAGCCCAAGCCAGTCCCATCAACTAATTCCCCTTCTTCCCTCACCATGACACACTGGGATGTCTGTACAACCACCACTGCATACAAGGGTGCAGCCAGACTGGCCAAACACACACACTTCACAGAAGAGATAAAAATCCAGTTACACCCCAGCTTGGGAAAAAGCTTGTTCTGGTTTCTGTGGCTTCATCATGCAGTCTGTCCCTTCAGCCAGGAATTCAGGGCAGACTACGGAGATGGCACCTCCATCCTGGCCAGGAGCAGGCTGCAGCAGGGCACAGCACAGCCACCACAGTGCCCCATCCATCATCCCTGTCCCCCTCCTCTGGACAGGGCAGCACCTGGGGATGCCTCAAAGCAAGCTGCATGGGCATTTTGACTAATGACATGAAGCAAAAGGTTCCTTTCCTTAACAGCCCTCCTCAAACACATCCCATTAGGCTCATATCCTGACTGAGCTTCTCGCTGCTGCAGATGTTAAACTAGTTAATGGAGAGCACTTGTCTCACACCTAGCACTCCCCACACCAGCAAAGTTGGGGCCGGTTCACCTCCAGATGTTCAGGTCTTTAGCACATCAATTAAGTAATGCAACTGATACATCTCATCAACTTCCTAATCTGGTCTTGCTCATGTCAGGAGAGATGGTGTCTCCAAAAATAGAATAACCAGGTCTGACTTTAAATACTTAAAAGAAATTATTTTGAATTTTGACTTGATATTTGGAGCAAAGTGCTGTCAGAAAGATGAACCACACAACCCAGCAAACCCTTAGCAATGCCCAAAGCAAACATCTGCATGACAGCTTCATTTAGCCTTGCCTGGACAATATATCACAGCTGTAGTCTTTTGCCACTTGATCCATTATTTTTCCCAAAGAGTGATATTATTCAGGTCCTCAAGGACAGCCACATATTAGATAGTCTGTTTGCAATGATACCCCAGCTGGCTGCCCCAGCTTCCATCAGGATCTCAGGGCACCTCGCCACGCTGCATGGTCAAGGGTGCAAAGCTTACTACCAGCTTGCAGAATGACCACAAACAGCCCAACTGTATTCAGGAAGGTGCATGGCATTACTGCTACTGCAAAAAAAGGACAGATCTCCCAAAGGGCTGGAAAACAATACAGGAAAAAAAAAAATCTTGCAAGGGGAAAAAAAAAAGATTGGCCTTATGTTGGGATCAAGCATATTACTAGAAAGACCAAAGAGGAAAGAAAGGGAGAGGATTTGCAAAGGATATACCATCTACAACTGGCTGCATCCATGGGGAAGGGCTACAGCGTGCACATCAGCACTGAACACAATAAACAACCCAGCAACAGAAAGAAAGAACATGAACAGATCTTTCACAATATAAAAAGTTTTCGTTACCAAGATCAGCCTAATATTTGCATGGAAAATTCATGTACATTGTTAGACAGTTTTTAAAAAGTTTCCACAATCCTGAGAAGTTGGGCCCTCAATGAGAGATTACAAACATATGGCAAATCCAAGTCAACGCTGCAGATAATAAACCAGCTAAGAGAGTCTGGCCCAAGCAGCATACAGCTGGAATGTTTCCTCATCTCTCTTACTCTTACATGTTAGACAGCATGTGGATGACACACATTTGTCTAAGCTGTCCTTGCCATTTCGATCTTCCCGCTGCCTTTAACCATGTTTTATTTCACACAAATATCTGCATACATACAGCCCAAGCTGTGTTTAAGCATCTAAAATTACAGTAAGACTCCAGCTCTGCTTCCAGCTACCTCCCTGTGCTCCAAGAGATTCAAATCAGCCAGCTCCTAAGCTGCCTCTAACATTTATTTAGGGAGGAGAGGGGAAAAAGGCAAAGGCAAGGGGGAGGGGATGTGAATTCCAGACTCCTGACATCAGCCCGGTCCCCACGCCGGGAGCAGGGGGATTTGAGCCTTGCTCACAGCACTGCACATAAACCATCCTGCGGAGAGCCGCCACGGTGGGGCCAAGGTGTTTGCAGGAACAGAAACATCTGCAGAAGAATTCATTGCCCGAAAAGCCAGTTGCTGTTGTGACAAAAAAAAAAACACACACATGTGGACACCATCTCCTTTGGCAAGGGACCCCCAGCACACACCAGAGCCGGTCATGGTCATTCTCACAGGAGAGAAGCGTACAGTGCGGGATGAGTTAAATTCTGCTCCTTGTCATGATCTTACAGCTAAAATTGCGCAGCATATTGAGAGGAAGGAAGTGCGACGTGAAAACAGAAGATTTTGCCAGCTCTATACGTTCACAGAACACCACCACTTGCAAGCCATATGGCAACCGCTTGCCAAAAGCTCCTGCAGCGATTTTAGCAAGGTGATGGGCGTTCGACAGGGCTGGACCTCCTCCAGAAGCAACCGGCCGGGAGCAGGTAGGAGGCTCGGTGCTCCAGCCCCTGCTCAGAGCCCTCTGAGCACCTCCCAGCCATTGTCAGTGCCCTGCTGCAGCACTTCTCATTTGTAAGAGATGATTCAAGCATCTGCCTGCCTCCCCGTGCTGCTGCGAGCCTCCAAGCACAACATGCAATTCATCTTCATGTACAAGGAAAATCCTCTGTACCTCCATAACTATGATGGATTAGGTCAAAGCAAGATATTGAAGTAAAATAACAGTCTGGGTATTGCACAGACAAACTGCAAGCCACACAGGTAACCAGCAGGAGAGGAAATAACTTCTGTTCGCAGATGTGCATGAGTGTCTCACCTCTGCTTGCTCCTGGAAATCAAAGGAGAGCTAAGGAGCCAGCTGAAGCCCTACAGACCACTCATATTGCACTTCATCACTAGGAGCATCAGTTTGAGTAGGACTTAAGCAACATGAAAGTCTCTGGCTCTTTCCAGAAAGATGAGCTTCACACAGGAGCAGCTCTTATTCCTGCCCAGCTAATCAGTTTATTTATTTCCCCTTGATTTTTCAGCCAAATCTAAACTCAGCAATCTCCTCTTAGAAGCTATGACAGCATCATGGACAGAGACCGGACTGACCAAACCCAGGCCCTACAGGGTATTTCTTACAAGCTTGCACTGGGCTTGGCCTTCATCTGAGAACTGAATTAGCTGTTGCTTTATGAAAGCTTTTTTTTAATTTGCTATTTTATGAATAACATTACTATGCAGCATTACACACAGGATCATTCTTTCATTCGAGATGTACAGGATTCCCCAAAGAGACCAGCAGCTCAGTCCCGCTGCACCGGAGGGAGGTGGCAATATACCTGGTACACAGAGGGGCACACCCCAAATAGCAAATTAGACCAAAATCAGACCAGAGGCTGCCCCAAAAGCCTGCACCAGGAGCGTATAAAGCCCTTGAACAAGACCAAAAAGGAGCACGACTTCCCACTTTAACAGAGCAGAGATGAATGACTCACTGATAAACAAACAGTGGCAAAAAGAGGAATTAAATCCCCAATTCCTCCATGTCTGACCAAGGCTTTAACCACAAGACCAATCTTTCTGTGTTAATCTGATTCTTAATTATTTAGTTACCTGTTAAAAGCTGGAACAGAGGCAGCTGCTATTAAGTTTGTAACTACCGCCACTCAGCAGCGGCCAATAGCCACTTTTTCCTTTCTTACGCATTAATATTAAAGCAAATCAAGCAGCATTCATTGAAATAAGCTCCCTGGCTTTGGGCTGGGCACAGGCTCCAGCCAAAACAGGGTCAGTGTGGGCATGCCCTGCCACCCTCGACCACAGCCAAACCGCCTGCTCGGACTCAGCTGTGGGATACAGGAGCAGAAATATCCCCAAGGAACTCAAAAGGAAACCAGAGCATCCTTAACATCCAAAGGTAAATATTAGAGCACACTGCCTGTGGGCAAACCCCATTCCCAACATGACTGGGTTGTTCATCCTCACCTTTCCTTTCCCTGACTGTTCTTTAAATCACATTTTAAGAGGAAAAGATGTCTTAAGCCCTGCTGATCCTTCAGGACATGTGCAATAATAAACAAGGATTTTTTTTTTTTTTTTTAAATGCCATTACACTTGCTAGTCACAGAGCAGAAAAGGGGACAACCAGCCCTTGTTTAGCAACCACAGTGAAGGTCAGTTAGAGACTTTTCCCATACACCATTACCGTATGACCATTATGCAAAGGTTAAACAGTTTCTCCAAGCTTGATATCAAGCCCAGACCCCCCTAAATTTTATCTTCCCTGGCCAAGGCATTTTGTTTTGCTTTCACCAGGGGGAAAATGCTGTCTTTTGCTTCGCTCCTGCGA